AGAATCTGCGACCCCGTTTTTGCCGTTGTTATATGTACGTTATATAGGTCGGAAGGGCGGCCTGATCACACGTCAGTGCATGTCGTGGCCTCTTGGGCCACTCGTGATTCTGGACATCTTGGCAGCAGTTTCTATTAGCTACGGTCGTAAACGTTGGTCCCGGTCGTGGAACTGTTGTATTGTTAATATACAGCTGAACCATTTCTCGTTGTTAATGTAGCCGCTAGTGTTGCGAGCTTCCGCTTAGGTATGTTAACAACTTTTTGTTTTCTTTACGGTTTCAAACACAACTGCCATCAGTCAGGCGTTACAGTACACTCTGACGCTTGTTCGCGATCGTTTCTCTCTCTCTCTTTTTTTTTCACGAAAGTACACCCCCCCCCCCCCCCGCCTGCTATAAAGTAATGCAGCCAGTTACCCGCCTCTTCGGCTAGCATTTCACTTGAAAAAAAATATGGGTATTCAATTGAACAGGCTATGTCTTCCCAAAGCCCCGTATTGCAGGTTGTGTGAACAGCTTAGGGCATCACAGTCTGCAGGGGCCTCAAATGATTCCCCTTTTTTCCACAGATGTTTTCTTTTAATATATTTTAAATATAATTTTCATTTATTTTAAAAATTTGTCTTGGGTAAATTCTCTCATTGCATTTTATTTATTCTAACGTGTAGTCTGTTTGAGAGCGTATATGTATTGTAGTTTTCTGAGACTGACTGGTAAAATTTAAAACTAAGGAGGGATTCCGAGCATTTATGGACTGAATGGTTCGATATGCAATGAGGATAATCTGTCGACTGACTAACCATTTGAAATGACAGGGATCTCATGGCTTAATATAACTTCGGACCTCTCAGGCCTAAATCCGGCCCTATGGAAACATGTCACTGGCTGTGAACTAAATCTAGATTGCTGTGTTGATATGGCAGTAAGTTATCGACCACGTCAAAGTCATCTGGGCGAAGGTTGTGCTGGAAAACCTGCCGTATGTGGGTGATCCACTACCGGCTTCAGCTGACAGGGGACACTCCCTAATGATTATGTCGCGACCTAGTCTATTTGAAAGACCTACTCCTATCACCCACAACCGGCTCCAGCTGACAAGAGACACTCCCTCATGATTATGTCGTGACCTAGTCTATTTGAGAGACTGACTCTAATCACCCACAACCGGCTTCAGCTGACAGGAGGCACTCCCTAATGATTATGTCGCGACCTAGTCTATTTGAAAGACCTACTCCTATCACCCACAACCGGCTCCAGCTGACAAGAGACACTCCCTCATGATTATGTCGTGACCTAGTCTATTGGAAAGACCTACTCCAATTACTCACGACCGGCTCCAGCTGACAGGAGACACTCCCTGATGATTAAGTCACGACCTAGTCTATTTGAAAGACTGACTCCTATCACCCACAACCGGCTCCAGCTGACAAGAGACATTCCCTCATGATTATGTCATGACCTAGTCTATTGGAAAGACCTACTCCAATTACTCACGACCGGCTCCAGCTGACAGGAGACACTCCCTCATGATTATGTCGCGACCTAGTCTATTTGAGAGACTGACTCCAATCACCCACAACCGGCTTCAGCTGACAGGAGACACTCCCTCATGATTATGTCGCGACCTAGTCTATTTGAAAGACCTACTCCTATCACCCACAACCGGCTCCAGCTGACAGGAGACACTCCCTCATGATTATGTCGTGACCTGGTCTATTTGAAAGACCTACTCCAATCACCCACGACTGGCTCCAGCTGACAGGAGACACTCCCTGATGATTAAGTTGTGACCTAGTCTATTTGAAAGACTGACTCCAATCACCCACAACCGGCTTCAGCTGACAGGAGACACTCCCTCATGATTATGTCGCGACCTAGTCTATTTGAGAGACTGACTCCAATCACCCACAACCGGCTTCAGCCGACAGGAGGCACTCCCTCATGATTATGTCGCGACCTAGTCTATTTAAAAGACCTACTCCTATCACCCACAACCGGCTCCAGCTGACAGGAGACACCCCCTCATGATTATGTCGTGACCTAGTCTTTTGGAAAGACCTACTCCAATCACCCTGACCGGCTCCAGCTGACAGGAGACACTCCCTGATGATTAAGTCGCGACCTAGTCTATTTGAAAGACTGACTCCAATCACCTACAACCGGCTTCAGCTGACAGGAGACACTCCATGATTATGTCGCGACCTAGTCTATTTGAGAGACTGACTCCAATCACCCACAACCGGCTTCAGCTGACAGGAGGCACTCCCTCATGATTATGTCGTGACCTAGTCTATTTGAGAGACTGACTCCTATCACCCACAACCGGCTCCAGCTGATAGGAGACACTCCCTCATGATTATGTCGTGACCTAATCTATTTGAAAGACTGACTCCAATCACCCATTACTGGCTCCAGCTGACAGGTTGCGCTGCTGATGTCATCGGGTCGGACTAAGGATGTGTTAATGCAGTGGCTCTCAAACTGGGTGCCGAGGCAACCTGGTGTGCCCTGAACGTACGCCAGGGGTGCCGCGATAATAATCAAGAAACGTCGGCTAAAAATTGTGAAGTTATTTAAGAAGGCATGTAGATACTTTGAAGTTGAAATTTAAGTTGTCTTCCCATGCCACTGTCGAAAATAGTTTATTTCTTGTTTGAGAAGGCTGAGTTAACGCATCGTTAGCCCGACCTGATGACTTCAGCAGCACAACCCGTCAGCCTTTACTCAGAACATTTTGAGAAAATTATCCAGTATTATGGTATTGGTGGACTCATGTCTACAGTCTTTTGTTCAATCATAATTCTACCCCCACTCCCAAAACACCATCCCATGTGCAATGTGATCCTCCTTGGCATTTTGTTCCCCTGAATCTACTCCAGTACTGATATCATATGTTAGCTACTGTTCACATATTCAGTTTGGGTATCTTCTTTGTAACCTAAACTCGGTTTATGACCTTAGCAGTTGTATGTGTGTGCATCTTTGTCTCTACTAGTATATGCGCCATACATGATATTTATTGCTTGTGCTGTGTTACTGACATACTTTTGCTGTAATTTGATTTTCTTAGTTGTTTGCTCATGTGGCTTATCTCATAAGCCACGTGGGTTTCTTGATAATACATTAGTATGGTTTTCCTTTTTAAAATTATATTTTTTATTATCAACTGTCAAGACTTAAAAAACTTGTACATTGGAATTTTTGTGTATGCATATTGTAAGTTACCTTAAGCAACACAGAAAAAAAAAAAAGAATAATTGTACGCCGTCCTCACAGAGCCCCAATTTCCTGGTGCGGCTCTCTTAGCATCAGCTAAAACCACAAGCAATTATTAAAAAATAAAACTGTCCATCGTGGAAAACAAACCTTAGTACATGAATGAGGATCGTGAAATTGTCAAATGCATTCACTGACCTTAAGTCTCCGAGCAGCACTAGCAACCCATAGCTTGCCCTAAATCTGCTTTTATATACCTGTGAGAGAAGAGTTAATTTGGTAGGGCAAATAAGATAAAGAAAATAGCTCTTTTACCGTTTCGTTTTCTCCTTGTTCCCTTGCCACCTTGGTTGGGCGGCATCAAAATATACTTTTTTTTTCTTGTAAAGCACTGTGGTCATTTGGAAGTGACAGTTTTAAATCCCAGTGTACCCCGACTGGGTCCTGGGGCTCAGTTTTGTGGGGAAAAAGAACAGGCTTACCGCCCCCTAAAAGGCTCACTGCCCCCTAAAAGGCTCACCACCCCCTAACAGGCTCACCACCCCCTAACAGGCTCACCACACCCTAACAGGCTCACCACACCCTAACAGGCTCACCACACCCTAACAGGCATGTCGTAAAAGGCGACAAATAGGAATCTGCTGAAATCAGATGAGTTGGACCGAGAGGTGCAGGTATTGCAGCCTAGCTGTAAACCACGACACTGTATGCCAGCCACCCTTTTACAAGCAAATAACTGAAGAAGAAGAACCCCACTGTCAGATGTAGCAGTGATACAAGTATATTGGTTATGTCAAATTGTACCTGAGAAGATTCAGCAGAGTTCTAGTAATGTTTCTGACAGCCATATGAATGTTGGCAGAAGTGAATATTTGTGTAACAGACATAGTGTTTAGTTGTCTAAAAAAAACGATTCTGAAGTAAAAATATGTTGTTGTTAAAAGAAACTATTATGAACCATGGTGTTTGATTTTTCAAAGGAAACCATTATGAAGCAAACGTGATTTTTGAAAGAAGCTATTATGAAGCAAATATAGTGTGCTTATCTAAAGAAACCATTATTAAGCAGACACAGTGTGTCTTTGTAGAAAAAACCATTATGAAGAATACATAATGTATAATTATGGAGAAAACCACTATGAAGCAAATGTAATGTATAATTGTGGAAAGAAACCATTATCGAAGCAGGCAGTGTGTGGTTATCAAAAGAAATCATCGTGAAGCAAACATAATACTTTGTTGTCTAAAGAAACCATTACGAAACAAGCATAATATATAGTTGTCAAAGGAAACTATTATGAATTAAACATAGTATAAGTTGCATAATTATTGAGCCTTATTCAGTAAAGAAATTCTTTGAACTTTTGAAGTTGACTTTTAGTTTTGTTAATTTTTGCTGTATGACGTATTTGTCTGATGATCATTCTGTACTGTTTAATAATCTAATGCTGTTGTATTGCAGAGTATTCCCGATGTTGGACACACGCGTGAGAAAAGCCCCAAACTTGTGCACCACCACTGCCACCACCGCCTGCCACCAACGAAGCAAAGCAAATTTGAAAAACTCCTTTTGGACTTTCAGTAACTCAATGACTAAATCATTAGCCGATCTAAATTATAGTGAAATCACCTCTAATAATAGACACTTAGATCTAGTTACGACCAATAAACTCTATCATTTTGAAGTGTCACCTTTGTTCTGGACTACTGACGACGTCTTACAGTTTATAGAAAGTAGTAGTGTTTCTGTTATTTCAAAATTTCACAAGAAGCGTTTAGTAACATGTCAGGGCAAGATGAAGATGATTCAGCAAGACTCCAGGAGAAGCTTCTGTCTACCCAGAGCTCAGGCACCCTTCCCTCAGAGGCTGATCCAAGCAGCAGTGCGTGGCTAGACGGTGAGGCTGTAGGGGTACACGGTGTGTCCAGTGGCAATCGAGGTGATACGTTGTACAAGAAGAATGGGGCCTCAAAGAAACAAGAGCCCTTAGCTGATATAGATCCAGACAGGTGTTACAGCTGGCTGCTTGCTCCCGGTGATGGAACAGCTAGTGGCAAAAGGAGCCGGAATGACAGCGAGGCCAGCATTAGTTCTAGCTCCAGCTCTTCCCTTCCGATGCCACAGGCTCCTGATGGGGGTTGGGGCTGGTTTGTTGTTTTTGGAGCATTCACGGTAACGCTGATCTGTGATGGCTTGTCTTACTGTTTTGGTGTTCTGTACGCAGAGCTGCTGGTTCAGTTTGAGGAGAGTCGTAGCAAGACCTCTTTGGTGGGGAGCATCTTTTTTGGTGTGGCTATGATTTTAGGCCCGCTAGCCAGTGCTCTGACAACCCGCTTTGGCTGCCGCACCATGACCATCTTTGGAGGCCTGCTGGCATCTTTGGGGTTATTTTTAAGTTTCTTTGCAACATCTATTGAAATGCTGTGTTTCACTTTCAGCGTCATTGTCGGGACGGGATTTTCATTTTGTTACATAACCAGTGTTGTCATTGTGGCATTTTACTTTGATAAGAGACGGGCACTTGCAACAGGCTTGGCAGTTTGTGGGACTGGAGTGGGTACTTTCACCTTTGCTCCATTGATGGACTACTTAATTGTTGAGTATGGTTGGAGGGGGCTGTTTCTCATAATGGCAGGGATAAGCTTGAATCTAGTTGTCTGTGGCATGCTGTTCAGACCTCTGCAGTTTACAGAAAGCGAGAGATGGGAGATGCTCTTGGAAGAATTTAATAAAATTCCTTTCAGCAGGGAGGATATAGAATTGTCTAGAAACCGGTATCAGACAGACTCTAGCGAAAGTAACTCGGATGACGAGTCACTGGATGAAGAGCAAAGGACGCTATCCATGCTGAGTCTACCGACGTTTGTCACAACTGAATTACTGCACGGCCCATCTTCTGTGCTCATGGAAGCACTGAAGAACAGCAGAAACCCTCATCACACACTACAGAGATACATGAGGAATGCAATGCTGCAGAGTGATCACAACAACTCTGAACAAAAGTCAGAGGAAGTTGACAGTCCTGTATGCGGCTCTCCAACGACGGATACTTCAGAAATCAAATACGGAATGGCTGTAGAGTCAGATACAGATACTGCTTTGGGCAGTGTGCCTGCATCCTTACCCGAAGAGAGTTTTTCCAAATTGAGCATGTCACCCATTTGTCACACGAAAGATATACTACAAGAAACATCATTTTCAGACAGAATCACAACCACTAGTTTTTCACTCCCTAAAATTACAGACAAATTGATAACCATAACACCCAGAACTAAAAAGAACACAAGACAAATTCAGGATGAGAAGGAGCAGAATGGCAAAACATTGGAAGGGAAGAACCATGCTAAGGGCACAGACAATCAACACCATAAACGACATGAGTTCTCAGGCATGAGCAATATTTTGACTGATAAGGGCTGTGAAAAGGAAGCAAAATCTGTGGTGAAGAGGATAGGTGGGGTGCACATTGGGCGGCACAATGCTTTGGGTATACACTTGCCTTTATATAGAACAGATATTTTCTACAGGCGCCTTCTGAAGAATGTCCCACTTCACAAGCGATACACACTTGGCACCAGCTGCCCTGAAATGGTAGAATCTATTGCCCCTGAAGCGGAAAAACATTTCATAATTCAGGCGCTGTTGAATTTCCTGGAAGAATCGAGCGATATAATGAAGAGCATGGTAGAGCTAAGATTATTCCTCAACCCCTTTTTTATAGTCTTTGTAATATCGAACTTCCTGTTTTACTTTTGGAGTGATGTCCCTTATATGTACGCAGCCGACCATGCCATGGACAATGGGATAGATCAGCAGAGAGCATCCTTTCTTCTGTCCGTCGTCGGTATATTTAACACGATTGGCCAGATGGTGTTTGGTTACATTGGCGACATGAACATCAACCTGCTGAATGTCTACGCCGTTGTTTCCTCCATAGCAGGTCTGTTTGTGGCAGTGATTCCATTGATGGGCAACTACATCTGGTATTCTGTGATGTACGCTTTGTTTGGCTTCTTCATAAGTGTCAGCTATCCCTTGACCACGGTTTTGTTGGTCCAGTACCTTGGAGTGGGCAAGTTGACCAATGCCTATGGTCTGCTTATGCTGGTCCAAGGGATTGCTAATTTTCTGGGACCTCCGTTGGCAGGTAAATATATGTTTTTCCCCTGCAGCTTGAGTAACAGTTGTTTGGACAGATTTGTGGACTATCAGAGATGCAAAAAGTGGAGAATGGAAAATGAGAAGCAGCAATGAAAATTATCTGTTTAAATCACCAATAATTTATTAGCATCATGTGGGATTTGTTGTTAGGCATATAGAAAGAACGGCAGATAACAGAGATAGAATAGAAACTGCATACGCAAGAGTTAAATGGAAGGAGATCATGAGGCAGACCGGAAAGAATGTGGGGAGTTAATACAGGAAGACCTACAGATATTTGGTCTCACCAACTGGAAAGAGAAGGCCAGAGATTGAGAGAGGCAAGTGATACCTACCGCGGTGAACCTGGAGTGCTCAGAATGCTAAGCAGAAGTAAAAATTGTCTTAAAGCAATAGTCATTCTCTGACTTTTACAGAAAAGTATTGAATACATTTAGTTCTTCTTTTGTCGTCTCACTGATACCAGGTTGTAGGCCAGTGTCATGGTTTTGTCATCTCATTGATACCAGGTTGTAGACCAGTGTCATGGTTTTGTCATCTCACTGATACCAGGTTGTAGACCAGTGTCATGGTTTTGTCATCTCACTGATACCAGGTTGTAGGCCAGTGTCATGGTTTTGTCATCTCACTGATACCAGGTTGTAGACCAGTGTGGTTTTGTCATCTCATTGATACCAGGTTGTAGACCAGTGTGGTTTTGTCATCTCACTGATACCAGGTTGTAGACCAGTGTGGTTTTGTCATCTCATTGATACCAGGTTGTAGACCAGTGTGGTTTTGTCATCTCACTGATACCAGGTTGTAGACCAGTGTGGTTTTGTCATCTCACTGATACCAGGTTGTAGACAAGTGTCATGGTTTTGTCATCTCACTGATACCAGGTTGTAGGCCAGTGTCATGGTTTTGTCATCTCACTGATACCAGGTTGTAGGCCAGTGTCATGGTTTTGTCATCTCACTGATACCAGGTTGTAGACCAGTGTCATGGTTTTGTCATCTCATTGATACCAGGTTGTAGACCAGTGTCATGGTTTTGTCATCTCACTGATACCAGGTTGTAGGCCAGTGTCATGGTTTTGTCATCTCACTGATACCAGGTTGTAGACCAGTGTTGTGGTTTTGTCATCTCATTGATACCAGGTTGTAGACCAGTGTCATGGTTTTGTCATCTCACTGATACCAGGTTGTAGACCAGTGTCATGGTTTTGTCATCTCATTGATACCAGGTTGTAGGCCAGTGTCATGGTTTTGTCATCTCACTGATACCAGGTTGTAGACCAGTGTTGTGGTTTTGTCATCTCATTGATACCAGGTTGTAGGCCAGTGTCATGGTTTTGTCATCTCATTGATACCAGGTTGTAGACCAGTGTCATGGTTTTGTCATCTCACTGATACCAGGTTGTAGCCCAGTGTCATGGTTTTCTGTATTTGTCTTGCACTTCTTGGGTGGCTTGGCTGATGGATTTGTTCATCTGTTTGCAGGTTTCGGCTACAACATTTAACCATCTTTTTCCTGTTGCCGTCTTCCCAGATGTTCAGCTGTTAAAAAAGTCTCCTCTGCAGTTTGGTCTGGCTGCATTCTCACTAGATGGCCAAACCATTTCATTCTTTGTCTCAATATAATCTGGACATGGTCTTTTTTCTAACTTTCTCTCTAATGTTAGTATTCATAACCCTGTCTCTTTTAGTATTGGTAGTGACCTTGCAGAGGCAGTGCATTTCTCATGTAGTTATTTTGTGTGTGTGTGTGGCTCTATTCATTGTCCATGTTTGGCACTGATAAGATAAACTAGAGATCAATTTGCTATTAATCATTCTTGCTGTTTTGCTGGAAGGGAGACATTTGGGTGTCTAAGCAGTGGGGCTAACTCTGGGAGCTAGGTGACACAATTTTCCTTCTGTACTCTTGACTTCTATCTCTCTGTCAGGCCTGCTATCCATAAATATGCTTCCTTTATTTTGAATAAATTTAGTTACAAATTTAAAAGTTAAAAAACAAAACCCACACACTTTCACATCAGTGTTGCCTTGGGTGTCTAGTGATAGACTCGAATGATTATTTACCAAGCAGTACTTGATGGATGATGGGACCAGCTGAAACTTCTTCTTTTTCTTGGTGTTCACCTGCTGTAAACCCTGATGGAAAGTTTCAGTGTCCATTGGGGGGGGGGGGGGGGGGGGGGGGGGTTGCCTGCACATCTGTTTTACAGATCTGGCTTATTTGTGTGCATACTGTTGGTTCCTTGCCTCTCAGGTAGATGTACCACAAATTCAGAAGAAACACCACAAATAAGTTGGCTTTCATCGCATGTTGGAGGAGGGGGGGGGGGGGGGGTCTATCCTTGTTCTCCCCGGCTTTGATGCTTGTAAAAAAGGGGGGGGGGGGCGTGGTTGTGAGTATAATGTTGGTCACTTTTACTTCTCAGGATATTTTCTGGTACAAGTTTTAGGCTGGATCCACCTGATAATGCTTTACAAAATGCCTAAATTGGCTTGCAGCCATCTTTGAGAAAACGTGAAAAGATAAATTTGCATTGTCTGTATTATGAAAACAATATTCTGCCAGTAATATTGGTTTGTTGTGATTAGTTCTGACTGTGTTCACTGACTTTTTTTTTGCAGGATGGGTGTCTGATGTGACTGGAAACTATGACTCCACTTTTTATTTGAGTGGCTTCTTCTATGCTGTATCTGGGGTGGTGCTGTTCGTTATGTATTTTCCAAAGTGTCGAGAGCATGTCAGGTCTCGTCGGAGTTCCTTGGATTCATCCATTGAGGTGCCATAAAGCATGTGAGATCCTGCAGGAAATCCATGAGTTCATCAATTGAGGTGCCATAAAGCGTGTGAGATTCTGTTGGATTTCCTTAGATTTATCCATTGAGGTGCCATACAGCATATCAAGTCTTCTCACTGGAGCCGTGGATTAATCAAGGTGCCGTGAAGTACACTGGGTCTTGTATGGGTGTCATGGAGTCATCTGTTAGGTACCATAAGGCATGTTGGGTGTTGTCGCTAGATCCATGGATGTGTCTGTTGAGGTGTCACACAGCATACTGGATCTCAGTGGTGCCATGGATTCATCAGTTAAGGTTACACAAAGCATACTGGATCTCAGTGGTGTCATGGATTCATCTTTCGAGGTGCCACACAGCATACTGGATCTCTGGTACATGGATTCATAATTTGAGGTGCCATATTTTAGTAATGTTTTGGAATATTTATTTCTATGTACTTTTTTTAAAGGCAAATATTAGAACAAATGAATTATGCATTTAACTAGATGGTATTTTGCAAATGCCACAAGAAGAGCAAAGCAGTCACTCTTGTAATAGAGGTGTTTAGATTATAGCATATTGTGAATATAGCAGCAACAGCAAAATATTTGCTCTTGTAATTTATAAATAAGAGAAATCCCACTGGCGTGTGGTGTATTAGATATCACCTATTCTATGTCATATTATGTGAGTTGGGGTGCTTTATTCACCTGCTTACCCTTTTTTCCTAAGGCTGGGTTGAGCCCAGGGCCACACTGGCAGGACATAATCTTGCCACTCCTGGAGATTCAAACCAAACACATTATTTGACAGGCATGTGGACTAACTACTATGCCACCGTGCCTCCATTTTAACCTAAACGGGTTCAGATATTGTAAAACTTGTTTGTAATAGCAAAAAGACATACATTAAAGGTCATGAACTAGTGGCTGCAATAAAAAAATAAATTTAAATGTAAATGAGAAAAATGTGGAATTATTTATTAAAAAAAAATTGTTGTTGATTAGGAATAGATGTTTGTTTGTCTATCCCAAGTGATGATGACCATTCCTTTCGTCCACTAGGTTAAGGCAGGTTTATGAATGTGCAGATAGGCATATACATATACACACACATACATACATGCATATGCCCATATTTGCATGCATACAGGCACAGGTACAAACATATGGACACACACATTTATGTATTTAAATGGTTTTCAATACCACTTGCAAATCATCCCGGTTTACATTAGGAAAACTTTTGCCTACATCGAATATAACGTGAACCTATTTGTGCGTGAAAGATTTTTCTTCATCTCTTGTGCTGCCATTTTTGAATAATGTGGATTTGTATACATTTTGTCATAATTAGTTATACTGTTTTAAGTATAACTGTTAACATTAGAAATTATACATGTTTGGGGGAATTATCAATCAATAGTTGTTAATTTGTTTATCACACTTATAAAACCAAGTGAGAGTTTAGTTATCCAGGATGCCAGATGTTACCAGCTTAACTGAAGTGAGCAGATGTGGCTATTCTGACTAGGCAGTTCTTCTTCTTCTTCTTCAGTGTTTGCCTTTAAAAAAGGTGGTTGGTATCTGTTGGAGTTTTCAGCTAGGCTGTGATATCCACACCTTTCTGCCCAACACATCTCTAATTACACCTCTTACAGCATGCCTATCGACAGTTGGATTATATATTTGCTCCCCCCCCTCCCCGCATACATGGAGTCCCAGGACCTACACACGAAGACTGGGCACACCATAACAGGCTGAAGGCTTCTTATAGTCCATGTCATGTAGTGCTGGCGGTCATGTCTGTCTACAAATTTCTGTCTCGTGTGCAGTTTTGATACAGACACACTTTCATACTATGATGTCAAACTGTCCAGCATCTGCTCTCTGTCTGTGTTGGTGGTGGGGTGGATGACTTTGAGCCTGATGATGTGAGGCTGCAAAGCTAATGCTGGCTCCATGGATTGTTGGTTGGGAATAATTTGTGCCCCTGACAGAAACAAATCCCCAGCCTTACAGAGGATTTGAATCTGGGTCTTCCGCATGTGAATCCAGCGCTCTTAACTTTTCAGCCACCACCACCTCTTCTATTACCACCCTAAAGAGTGGCACACACAAGCAGTAAAAGCAGCTAGTTCAGGATGAATGAAGAAGACGTAATATAACAGTTCCTGAGCTATTAAAAAACCATTAGGAAATGTGATGTTTTATGTTAACATTATTGTTGTTTTTGTAAGTGTTAATTTGATTCTGCTGTACACTGATTGTTGACATAGTATAAGCATTTTTTCCATTGCAGTGCCAACTTATACTTGTTTCAGAATCTCTGTTGACGTAGTAGAAGCGTTTTGTCCATTGCTGTGCCAGTTTATGTTTGTTTCTGAATCTCTGTTGACATAGTAGAAGCGTTTTGTCCATTGCTGTGCCAGTTTATGTTTGTTTCTGAATCTCTGTTGACGTAGTAGAAGCGTTTTGTCCATTGCTGTGCCAGTTTATGTTTGTTTCTGAATCTCTGTTGACGTAGTAGAAGCATTTTGTCCATTGCTGGGCCAGTTAATGTTTGTTTCTGAATCTCTGTTGACGTAGTAGAAGCGTTTTGTCCATTGCTGTGCCAGTTTATGTTTGTTTCTGAATCTCTGTTGACGTAGTAGAAGCGTTTTGTCCATTGCTGTGCCAGTTTATGTTTGTTTCTGAATCTCTGTTGACATAGTAGAAGCGTTTTGTCCATTGCTGGGCCAGTTAATGTTTGTTTCTGAATCTCTGTTGACATAGTAGAAGCGTTTTGTCCATTGCTGTGTCAGTTAATGTTTGTTTCTGAATCTCTGTTGACGTAGTAGAAGCGTTTTGTCCATTGCTGTGCCAGTTAATGTTTGTTTCTGAATCTCTGTTGACATAGTAGAAGCGTTTTGTCTATTGCTGTGCCAGTTTATGCTTGTTCCGGAAGGAGTTGCATCAGTTCTTTTCAAAGTGACTTGTTGAATGAATACCCCAGAGTAACAAGCTGACTCTGTCAAAAGTAACATGTGTATTATATATCCTAGAGCAACATGCTAAACTTATAACCAAGAGTAACAAGCTGAATGTATAACCCAGAGTGACATGCTGAATATCTCAGAATAACATGCTGTGCTGAATGAGTCTCAGAGTAACATACTGAGTATCTAAAAATAATATGCTGAACAATTCAAAGTAATATATTGACTGTCTTGGTTGACTATGCTGATTGAATATCTTTTTACTTTATCACACCATAGTGACTGCTATATAAAATAACCTGTTTAATTAAATGTTTCAGCACAGCCTTTATATTACTTTATCCAGTTATTAAAACTTCCACATTTTTTCAGTTACCTGAAGTATTCTACAGTGAAAGTCTTCAATTATGGTTCCTATATTTTATTATTGTTTTTTTTTCTCTCTCCCTGTGTGTACAATATTTATTAAATAAAAGTATTCATTGGTAACATGCATCATGTAAAGATGTTTGTATAATTTCAAAAACAAGGAGGACATTTAGTGTTGCATGCATCTTATGTGTGCATTTTATCAAAATCATTGTAATTAAAAGGGTCGCCCTCCCATGGAAACGGGTAGGATAAGCCAAGAAATGGCTGTCAACAGGAGAACGACCCTTTTGTATTGTGGTACTTCCAGTTGCAACATGTGAGATAGTGCCTGGGGAATACAAACGATAACTGAACAAAGCTTCTATGGTTAAGTGTGCCAAGGTGCCTAGGGGTATGATTGTGAGGCTCTACCAACAGAATTTAACACAAGTCAGCTTGTATGCTAAGGTCAGTGTGATTCGAACAATGAAACATTTCTCAATCGAAGTAAAGGGTGACAACTGTCCTGAACAGCTACTACAACAGTACAACAGCAACAACAACAATAAATTTCAACGGTGTTAATTCTCTCGACTGAACGACACCAGGGAGTAAGTACCCAAAGGTGTATTTATTATAACTTCAGCATTGACATTGCGAGCGAACATGAAATAGTACATGGGAACTCACAGACATATCAAATAGGGAATCACTTGTAACCTCCTCACACCAACTCTCAATGAAGATTCGATTAAACATTTAATCATAGGTATGTTTAACTCTCAGTGTATCTACAGATCATCAGCTCGACCCTAAAAGTTGACGGTTACTTCAACAGATCCATGTGCAGTCCAATACTGAAGAACATGACCCTGTCATTCCTTCATGACTCGCTAGCAGTTTTGCTGAGTTAAACAACAGATTAAAGTTATCCTGCTTCCTGCAGAGATGGCTGTAAGGCCACAGCACTAGGCTGAAATTTCTCTGTGTTATTCCAGGGTAAACCTTCCTCTAGGATCCACCAAGACCCGACCACACGTCCGCCTTCTTGTACTTCTCAACTGCGAATCTCCTAGATTCCAAACTCCTAGCAGCAATACGTAATGCTTGATTTGATTCAAGAACCAACACCACAGCACTCTAGGCATTCCCATAAGCCTCCTTTAGGAAATGCTTATGATGTCCTATTTGCTTTGTCAGTATTGGTGTGTTTTAGTGCACATCTGCACGCGACAGCTTTGTCCATGTTCTTGCATGTTCTAATATGATTTTTTTTCTTAACTAAATTAGTGCAAATATAAAGTTAGTTTTTGGTTTAAGTTTAAGATTCTAAAGTGTAATTTTTCTTTCTGTGACATGTAAGAATTTTATTTTCATAATTATTAAAATGATATTGTTCCAGTGCATGTTTGTAAATTCAATTTCATGATTAGTGTTAGAAAAAAAATCGCAGTTTGTTTTCTAGATTTTTGTTTCATAATAAGTATAGTTTAAAATTGTCCCGGTGCTTGTTTTATATTTTGTTTCATGAAAATTATTTAAAAAAAAAAGAAATCTTCAATGATTTTCCTGCATTTGATTTTATGATAAGTATTTGAATAAAAAATCCAAGATTTTGTTTCCAAGATTTGGTTTCGGGATAAAGATTAGTATAAAATTGTCTCATTGTATGTTTGCGAGACC